TATTCGGTTAGGAAAACCCTGTTTACCAGAAATCCTGGGGGCACTTCATTGAAAATAACCTTCTTTCATCTAAGTTAAATTTAATGAGCTTGTTGACAAACTTGCTCAGGGTTGAACTACATGTTCCTGGGCAAAAGGAAAGATGGAATTATACATTTTTTCATCAGGTACAATCAATAGTTTTAACCAAAATACCTTATTTTTCTTGCCTCTAGAGAAAGATGAAGTAGTGCTGGAAATATCAGATCTGAATTATTTAGTAAACAGGATTATTATAATATCCTGGAAATTTCCATAACATGAGGAGTTGCCTCTTCATATTGCTATTGATGAGTCTTTTTTGAAGGCATTGAAATAAAAAGGCAGTGCTGTATCAGAACACCTGTAGTTAGGTAATGTTGTGAATCATAATGTTCACCAATAATGGCTCTCCACATTTTGCGACCCAGTTTGGCCTAATGGTTTAAGTACCATGCTAGAAACCAGGACACTATAACTTCCAGTTCTCCCTTTGGCCAGATGGGTGCCTTTGGGCTAGTAACTTTCAGCCCAGTTCAACTCATGGGGTTGCTGTTGTGGGGAAAAAAGGAGGAAGGAGTATTATATATGGCTTGAGTTATTTAAAAAATAATACAGAGAGAGAATAAATAAATATATAACTAGCCCATTTCTTATCTAGGAGAACTGACCTGTATTTCACACATTATATAAAGATAAGAGGAAAAAGATCAGCTACAATTTTCTTCATGTTAAAGTAGAGTTAAATGTGGAAGAATAACTAAACCAGTGAAGGTTACAATTTGCTTTAAAAACTTAAATCATTTTACTTGAACATAAGTTTTCAGTACTTTCATTTGTTACTGTATCTCTAGTTCTATACTTTAACTCTGTTGGAAAGGAACAAGTTGGCTAGGCAGAAAGTGGGCAAAAAATCTGCTGAAAATTTTGGTATAGTAAAATTTTAAAAAGCACCATCTAAAAAAAAAGCTTCCACTTAATTCAATTTAGCATATTATACTAACTCTTAGCATAACAACTGGAAATACAACAGATTTCTGCAAGATAACCCCAAAACTGATTTTGTAGGCATAGTTGAATTTGGGAATAAGCTCTCTTGGATCCACTGAACTTGTAAACCTGTATAAGGATCGTGTGCCATAGTCTCTTGCAAATATGTAAAGTTGGGCATTGCAGGGCAAACTTTATTTTATTTTATATGTTATCGGTAGATGTATCTAAAATTGTTCCTACATAACTTGTATCTCTGTGAAAGAGAACAAACATCTTGTATGTTGGGAGTAGGGAGCAAACGGATTATTAACGTGTCCCCTTAGCTTTCTGGAGTTTTATTCTGTCTATCTGACCAGCAGTAAGACTCTGCTAATCTCGCCTGGACTAATCTTTTGGGTTGCACTCTTAATTCAGCTTAGTGCGCACACCTAAGAAAATGCAGGGGTCGAAAAATTAGACCGAAGGCTACAAAAAAAAAAAAAAATCGGCATCAACTCTGAAGCATGAAACTCTATTTGCTGTGCGGGGAACCGAGAGGCAGGCACCTGTCTTTATGCAGCAGGATCGCAGGTGCTTTGTTGCAAGTTGCCGCTCCCTCCACGAATCTGGTCCCTGACTGGAGGTTGCCATCTACCTACCTTCCACCCACACTTCCGCACTCAGTAGGCGTGGGGGTCCTTTACTTTTGAGCACCGGCGCAGAGCAAACAAGAAAGGGTGAGAAAGCCTCCTGTTCTAGATTGTAGTGACCCAGCCGCTCCCCTGATCGCTCCCTCCTCTCGATCCAGGCACAGGAAGGTCGAAACTTCAGTGGGTCTCCGGAGGAGGCTGTGGCAAAGTCACTCTGGTCAGGAGACGGCGCGGCGTTCTGAGAAAGGATGGGAAATGCCTTCCTCCGGCTGGTTGGGCTACGCTATGTACCACGGATGGGGAAAGCCGCATCCCAGATCACGATCGGATATTTGAAGAAACACCGAGAATCAGTTCATCCCATTCAAAGCAGCGGGACAAAATTAAGCAGTAGAACCCAGAAAGATTTCAACTTCTGAGATTTTTTAAATATATATATTGGGCCATTGATCTAATGAAGGAGAGAAACAGAGAAAAACATGGCTTTGACATAAGCTCCCCCCCAGCCTAAAAAAATAATCAGAGGAGGCGACACAAACGACGGCCCCCTGCCTTGTCAGAACGATGGGACTCATAGTCCAAACCCTCCAGAGGGCACTGGCTGAAGTGGGGAATCTGCCACTTCGAAGGTAAGAATCGCTTCTCCCTGACCCACTCTCTTCGCTTTCAATTGGAGGCCGAAAAGATACGTGAACGAATAGAGAGATGTCTGCATGGGAGTGACAAGATTCGAAGGGGCGGTTTCTGCGTCCCGAGATCGTGACAGAGCTCCAGGTAGGTTCTCTGGCCTGGTTTTCTAGCGAGGAAAGGGAGGAGCTAGAAGGGGGAGTGGAATTCCTCAGCAACTAGGTGGCTCTACTCCGGCATTGATGGGGTGGGGGGGAGACCCTGTTTTTCGAAGGAACTGGGTTTCGGCTACTGATCTCTCTGAAAGCAACTCGGGGACCCCACTTTAATCTCTTTTCTGGCGCTGACGGTGGAATATTCGAGGGCTAGACAGTGGTGGAATTCAAATTCTTTTACTACCGGTTCTGTGGGCATGACTTGGCGGGCTTAGCAGGGGAAGGATACTGTAAAATCTCCAGTCAGAGGTGGTATTTGCCGGTTCTCCAAACTACTCAAAATTTCCGCTACTGGTTCTCCAGAACTGGTCAGAACCTGCTGAATGCCACCACTGGGGCTAGAGAAAAGAACAATTTCCCCCATTCAAAAACGCCTGCCAGGAGGAGTGACGTCTGGCTGACGCGATTGTTCGTCCAGCTCGAGTGCTCCCAGTTGGCTGCGGTACTTGGATCTGGCTGCGCCCAAAGCCCTTAGACACTCTAGGGCTGGTCTCAGAAGGATGCAAGGCTTCTGGTGGAACAGAAGTTCCTACGCTGCAGAGGAAGGGTAAAGAGAGCTATTAGTTTGACAGTAGTTCGTAAATAGCAGCGGCGCTATATATGTATATAAATAAATATACTTTATTCCCGAGAAAAAAAGTTAATATGTTCTAATTAGGCTGATATAAAGTTCCGAAGAGGCTTTAATTCTTCCGATTCTTATCCCTTTTTAATTCATTCACCAGCCACTGGATAGATCTGAAATGCACATTGCTCTTCCCAACCGCGTTCTTGAGTCACCGGCAGGACTCTTAAGCAAGGAAAGAATCCGCCTGATTGTCCAGGAGCTTACTCGGTAGTGTAGAAAAAAACACGCGCGAATAGGCGCGGAGTTTCACCACCAGGCAGGCAGCAACTAAGTCCAGGTGGCCCGCACCGACCACGTGGAAGTTGACTACACGAGGAAGGATTTGCTTGTGATATGAGTAACTTTTCATGAAACTAAATGGGGTTGAGGAATTTGACAGTACACAGTAGATCCACAGACGGATAGATTTTAGAATGCCACCAACTCTTCGCCGTCGTTACCACCAGAGAGAGTTACAAAATGTGATCCGTTCAGGAAGGCTGGTTTTGAACTGACCAGGCCATCCTGAGCGCAACAGCCGTTGAACTATCCTTTTCTATCCTCTGGAAAGGAAGTTCAAAAGCAGAGCTGGGATCAAAAGTCCCCCCAAAAGCAAATTCCAGCCACTCCTCAAAAGAGCTGACAATCGGAAGCCCATAAGAAAAAATAATAATCCTATTTTAAATTTAACTCTGCTCATAAAATACTTCCAAAAAGGATCATTTGTGACCCAGCAGACTCCACAGTCCGAAATCCTGAACTCCTGATTGAAAACCAAACTATTTCCTGTATACTCTTTGCCTCACTGTACCTTATAAAGTCGCCTGTTTGCAAAACCCATCTGGACTGGTATCCCTCTGTCCCTAATTTTTAGCTGGTTCATTTCTCACTGTCAAGAAAGATAATCCGTAATATCTCCCTACTCGGTTTTTATTTTGTGTTTTGTTTTATTTTCGTTTTTTTCTCCCATAATCATATCTCCTTAAGCTACCAAGGGTATAAAAATTGGATCGTGTGGATTTAGGTTTTCAGAAAACTATTTACTATTAAGTATGGAGTATGGTGTCTTAAACATGCCCCAGTCCAAGAATACAGACACATGGGAAAATACAGTAAATTACTACTGTATTTTGTTATTCAGATAGTATTCCCTCCTTCGCGTTTTTTTTCACATTCGTAACGCGTCAGGTTTCGTAAATGCTTCGACCTATGGAGCGAAATTGTCGCGAGATGCTACATTAGGGGGAAAATGCATGTTTTATCCGCGGGCCAATTGTTCAGATTTCAAATAAAAGTCCTGGAATTCAATAGAGCTGGAACCGGGCAGAGTTTATTGTCGCTAAATTAATCTAAGGCTGTAGGACAGGAGGCGCGCGTGTTTGTGTATTCAATATCCAAAGTCTACTGGTGGGTTTGTTTTGTTTTGTTTTTGCAATTTAGCAGATTTTCCTAAACGTCTTCTCGATCCTTCTTTTCTTCCTCGCCTTTGTAGAGGCACCTCTTTTCTCCAGCCGACGCGAGGGTTGACCGGGCGAAGGGACTAGAAGAGGGAGGAAGAGAAGGGCGCATCAACGCCTCGGCTTTTGTTTCTTCACCGGTACAGCTGACTATGGCTGGCTAGTTCCGGTTCGGTTTTGTTTCAACTGGGCAGAGGAACTTGACGCCTCTGTAATCTGGCTTGTAGCTTGTGGGCTTGGACCGTTGAGCAGCTTTTTCTCTTGTCTGGAGGAGGAGAGACGGAGGAGACCCATTGATTTCTCTCCTGCCGTCCGCCGCCGCTTCTATTTATTGTTTTTTAAAGGGACTTGGCTCTTGGCAAACACCCTAAGGAACGGTGTCACGTGGGCACAAAAGGGGGCGGGGCTTGCTGTCCAGAGGACGTGGGGGGAGGGCCCTTTTGTTGATTCCCCTGCCCTTCCTCTGGTAGTTCAGCCGCAGGAGGAGGGACGGCTGCTTCCAGAAGCTCTGCTTGGAGTCTGTTATATACATATGTATATATTTAAATTGGAGAGTGAGCAGTATAAACGGGACGAGGGGTGTGCTTTCCCCCCACTCCTTTCTTCCGTCCCGTATTTTGCTGCTTCGGTGCGCCCCTAGAAAGGATCCGCGATCAGGTAGGGCTGGAACACTTTCCGCTCCCAAAACCAACCCCCCTTTCACCCGGGAGAGCTTTAGCTGGCCCCGGGCGGTGCCCTTCCTCTTCCCCTTCGCTTCTCTCTTTGTCACTCCGTCGCTCCTGTTCGCCGTTTTCTTCCTTTCCCCCTCCTCACTTCTCGGTGTCCCTTTCAAAATGGCCGATCCCTCTCTCTCTCTCTCTCTCTCTCTCTCTCGAAATTTGTCAGCCCTTCTCGGCTTTCTTTGTTATGGTGGTGGTGGTTGTCGGCGGGGGGTTTATTCGCTGCTGTGAGGGAGGCTGCAGAAGGTTTTTCCAAAGTAGCCTCTTCGGATTTCCTGATCTTGGAATCATAGGAGCCCCTTTCCCTCGCCGCCCTCCCCCGCCCGGCTTTGCAGCTAGGGCGCTGGGCGGCAGCTCCGGTTGTTCTTTCGCTGGTGCCTTTCGGCAGCAGCTGGGGGCTTTGAGACCCTTTGAACCCGAGAGGCTTTTTCGCCCAGAGCGGGAGCGACGGGAACTGAGCTAGCTTGAATGTCCAGTGGGCGCTAGAAAGCCCATTGGGCTGGGACTAAGCCTTGACAGAAGAAGAGAGGGGCAACTTGCGAGATCCAAATGTCAGGCGAGCAAGTATGCGCGCGGTTTGTCCTAGGCCTGAGTGATCTCTCTCTCTCTCTCTCTCTCTCTCTCTCCCTCCCCCTCCCTCCCTCCCCGCGCGCGGGTGGATTTGTGAGGAGGAGAAATGTTATCAACTCTTTTAAAAGGACGGGTTTCCAAAGCTCGTGCCTTCCAGAACTACAATACCCATACTCTTAAGCCACCTGCATAGCTGGGGGAGCGTGTAGTCCACAGCGCATGGAATTGCCAGGGTGGATTAGATTTGATAAACGGACGCGGGGGGTGGGGGCTACAACCACAATATGGCGCATTACGTCGAGAAAATGGGGGAAGGAAGAATATAAAATTCCGCTTCGCGTTGAAGTAGAAAATTTTGTGATATGCCTGCCTGTCTGACTTTCTTTCCTTCTCCTCGGGCCGCAGCGGGTTAAAGTCTGATCTGGATAATCTAGACTGGAGCGAGAAAGGTGTGTGTGTGTCTGTCATTCCTAAATCGCGTGAGAACACGCTTTTCGGGGAGGGGGTGTACAGGAGAGATAAAGGAAACTTCCTGGGGATTTTATGAGGAAGGCTCGTCAAAGAAGCGGGAGAAGGCAGAGTAAGGGTTGGCCTTTACCGTCGCGAGGTTTGCCGGCTGAAGATAGGATGAAAAGTAAGGACTGCGAGAGAGAAACACCCCCCACCTTCTCCCCGCGTCCCTGCCTGGAAGACCGGCTGGAAGGAATAAAAGAGAAGGAATAGCTCAATGTGGGAGGGGCTAGTGGAAATTTTTCAAGGGCGCCGACTGTTCAATATGGGTCGGGTCGCTGTGTGCTGTTGTCCTTCGCTACCGCCAGATATTGTTTGGGCTACGACCGCGTTCGTTCTCAAGGCCAGAAATGGATGTGAGTTCTAAAAAATCCCACCACAGAGAAATTCCGAATGGAGAAACAGAAGTAACATCAACAGAGATGTGGGAACAGAAATATTTTACCTTCCTAAACATGGGCTATCCATTCCTTCTCACAAAATTCACTTTCCTGTCTTGGACTCAGATCCTTTTTTTTTTTTTGCTGAAGTAGTAACTTCTGCTTTATTATGGAAAACATTTTGTTTGTTGCAATAAGTTAATTTAAAGAGTGGAAATAGATCTTCTTTTCTAGTATTCAACAGTTTTCTTGCATTGAAAGGAGGCATAGGTGCCCATTTTTTATATCCATGGATATAATAATGGTTACCATCTTTCAGATTTTCTTTGAAAAGTTAGGGGCTGTTTTAAAGTTTAGAATTAAACAAGGAATTACGTGCCTACAACATCCTCATTCAATTATTCCCCTTAACTTGAAAGAGGGGATACACTTGAAGTGAATGCCCTTGAATCTAAGGTGCCAATCAGTTCCTGTTTAACTTTCAAGGGAAAATGTTTTGGCTAGTTCTCCCATCTTTTGCCTTAAATTTCAAAGGAAGAATTTTCTATGAAGCCTCCTCTGTAGAAAGAGTCGTTTCTCCAGAAATTTAAAAAGCATCCAAAATTCCAGCTGCCACAAGTAAATCACCAAAGTCCAAAGTTCTGTGCTTAATGAAGATGAACCCATGGTATTGTTTCTTTGTTACTGTGCCCCCAATATTGTCTCAAGTCTCTCTTTTCAGGTTTGAAGAACAGGTTTGTTTAATAGCACCATCCCAGGTTTGTTGCTGCTCTTGGGATTTTCCTCATGTCATGGATTGGATTCCGCCTTTGAACCTGTTGTATGAAAGCTGAGGGAGAATAGTAGAAGGACTAGTGCTCCAGTCTGACAGATGTATTCAATTGTTAATTATTGCGGGTGACTCTTCTCCTGCTCTGCTTCCCCCTCTCCCTTCCACCACAAGATCAAACAGTCCATGAAAATGAATGGGTTCAGCTATACATGCACACCCATGCACGCAAACACACAGGGGTGACCTTCTAAGTAGTGTTTGCCTTGTATGGTGGTTTGGGGGAGATGGACAAAAGAGGTAATTCTAGATCTGGAAAGAAGCCACGGAATTCTTACTGTACTCTGTTCTGGGGTGAGACGAAAAACGATCAACCCTTCCCCAATCTGACACCCTCTACAGGTTCTTAAACTATCCCTCCCATCATGTTCGAAAACCAGGGCCATGGAATTGGTTGGAACTCTAGACTGACACCTGTGGAAATGGATAGGTCAGGGAAGTGAACAAGGGTTTAAGGTTTGATGGGGGAATAATTGATTAAGGAAGTGGCGCTGTCAATCCCACTCAGGATGCGGCCTTCCAGGAAACAATAGGCTGTTTGTTTAAAGCAGCTTTCTCCAATCTGATATTCTCCAGATGAGTTGGGCTACTTGTCCATAAACCCAAGTTTGCATCAAATTCGGGAAGGCCAGGTAGAATTCTTCCAGAAGAATAAATGGGGTAGAGGCTAACATAGCCTCGGCTCTGCGGCGGGTGATTGATTTCACAGATGGCGCAATGCACATATTGCGGAAAATATCGCAGTCATATATGCTCTGGATGAGGGGCTTCAAAATCGAGAGGTCCGTCCACACAATGATGAACGGGAGGATCAATCAGAGTGGAGATCAATCAGAACCAAAGCCGGTGGAGCTTCAGTGTTTAGTCTTCTCCCGCCAATACACCTAGCCGCGCATTATTGGAGTCGGCACGACGGCCAGGTTAGATGGATATGATCCCAGCCGCGGGTCAATCGTCTCCCCTTCCACGCGTTGGCCGACCGATTCCACCCTCCCCACTTGGCTGGGAGAAATAGCCAATAAGAAAGGGGCATCTCTAGAAGTAGGAGAGGATGGCCATCACGCAGCACTCGGCATCGGAAGCTTTACCAGAGTTGCGGAAGGAAAGCGGTATTCGGAGTCAGGCAGTGGATCGCACGCAGGGAGAAAGAACTGCTGCTCCTTCTCCCGCTCAAAGGGTTTCCGCTAATCACCTTTTGGCTGCGAATCACTGGGAGCGGGTACCCGAGAAAGAGGGACCAGCCAGCCTCTTGGAGGGGGCATTTCGGGGTCAGACCCCCGTCTCTCGTCGCCGGGTGCGTCTGTGTCGGGGCGAGGCGTACAATTCTACAGGAAGACGCCCACGGGACTCTGGTAAGTAAGTCCAACTCTCCTTTCCACCCCACTCCCAAGAAAACCAGCCGCAGCCTCTTCCAAATCCCTTTCTCCCCGCTGGATGAAATAACCGCGATTTTTCAACCAATGAAATCCCCGGTAGAGGCGGCTCACCGACCTGAGGTCTCCCCACTTCGTTGAAAAACGTTCACAGTGTCAGGGCGGGCAGGGCCGAGTACCCAGGTGCCTTCAAACAGGCTAGGCTGCCGCTTCCCTCTCATTGGTGAAGATTGGAGAGGAAAAAGACCAAACATTTGGAGCCCCTTGGCCCTGAATCAGCCCAGACAGTTCCTCCCCCTCGTCTCGCCTTGTTAAACTTTCGCTTCCACGGGGCGGGAGTGGGTCGTATGTTTGCTGATTTTGAGGACTGCACTTCGCCTTTCAATCCGACAGCTTTCCAGGTGAGTTAGGGCAGAGGGCGATACTATTTAAATTTGGAATTGCTACCACTGGTTTCCCAGGATATAAATCCAACTAATTATTTGTCAATGGGTTCTTTTAGAAACGGGTGCAGTCCAAGGATGGTGTCCCCTTTTCCTCTTGCGGAGAAATGTACATGGGGGATTATGTGCTTGTTTGTGAGACAATATGCACCATCTTGGGCTGAAGATCTCGGATTTGGCTGGGTAGAAAGCAAATGCTTTCTTGAAAAGCAAATGCTTTGTCGCCATTCGATGCTGAACTTTGTTACAGTTGGGAAAAAAGCGAATGGAAACTGCGGAGTTTGATGACCTACAACTAGTGACTGTTAAGCACCACCATTTTTCTTTCTTGTCAACAATATTGTATTGGGAAAGGAACTTCTGCCTTTCAACAGGGGGTAGATCTCTTCGCTTTCTGTGTGCTGAAAGTGATGCAAACTGGGAATTTAGTTAATTCTTGGTGGTATTTCTAACGTTCTAAATTGAATTCTGTTCTAACAAAACATTTGCTCCTGGAAGGGAGGAAAAACCTTAGCATCCCATATTTGGTTGTAAAAGAGGATATACATTGTTTAGTCCAACATGGCAAATATGCACGTTTGATTAGGGAACGCATAACTCAGATACCCCCAAACAAATCCATCATGACATTACTTCCCTTAGTTCAGAGCATCCCATTGCTTAGATCCTAACTAATCAGTTTCAGTGTAACTAAAACCTGACAACAAAAGAAGATGTCATCAGAAGGCCAGATTGGACCTTCGGAGCCCATCCTTTCCTGCCTCCTTTAACTTATTAAAGGACTCCATCTCCAGCCATTTTAGAAACCAGATGAAGCAAGCTTGCCTCTGGTT